AGACTGGTGATTGCTTTTCTCTTTTGATAGCACGCATAGTGCCTTCCAGCGTTATGAATCCTCGCCAGCAGGAGTGAAGCTTTGTGGTGAGTACCAGCGTGGCTCCTCCATGTTCTGTGACTCAAGTATGTGTTATCTTAACTTGATACAGATTAACACAGGTCTCTTTGGCACCTTAATGCAGCATTTGAATACACTATTTTGAAACAGAGAGAGATACAGAGAAGGACAGAGACAGACTGTGAGATGGTAAGATGCCCGGAATAAAAAACTGATGTATAAGCAAAACATGGTGGATTCTTCTTCTCCCTATACCTTCTTCCTTTACTTCTGTCAGACGTGGCAGACCGACATGGAGAAGAACAAACCCCACATTTGCTGTGTAGCTCCAACACAGACAGTTCTATTACTGTATAAGGAGCAAGGTTTGAGGGCATGTGTGACCTGTCTTGTTTGATTGGGGGGCTGAATTTTTTAAAGGCTAGGTCCAAAAGTCTATTATTTTTAAAGCTTAATAAAATCATGTATTCAAAATTATACCATCTTTACTCGTTCGGTATGTGATATATTTATGGCCTGCTGTGTTCTCTTTTTTGCCTTCAAAAGAAGGTTGAATTTGAAATTTTATTAAAAACTCCCTTCCTGTGGATTTATAGCTGGGGGTAGCTGTTTTATCCGATTGCCATGTAGAATTAGTATTTACTGGGAAGAGTGGGTTGATTCAGGAGGCTGTCTGTGGCGTGTTTGCCCCGTGAGGGTCATATGAAACTTGAGAGAAGCTTTTTGAGCAACATGGCGTCGTGGGGACAATATATCAAGCCGATAGATACAGGGCCCTCCTGTTGGAAACCAGGCTTGGAGTTATGACCTGCTGCCAGCTATTGCTTTCATGCAAAGGAGCCTCTGTGGAAATGGGCCAGGGTAAAAGGGGCTAAGCAGAGAGAAAGAAGGCTTGCGGGAGGGAGAGTCGTGCAGAAATCACGGGAGATGGCCATGTCTTGGCAAATGGGTTGCCGTTCTGTATAATTGAAGTGTGAGAGAAGCGATGAGCGTGTTGTTTCCACGCTGAGCAGAAGAGACTGGCCGACACCTCAACATTATGGAGGACTGTTCAGAGCACTCCTTTCAAAATCGCATAGTATTGTAGTTTTCATGCGCTGAGGAATTTTAGTGTGCGTGTGAAAACTGTTTTTTTTTTCATGTTGATGACTTCAAACAAATATTCCTCCACAATTCAATAAATGGTATACTCCTCAATATAAAAGAATTAGGTAAAAATTATAAATAAGGGTTATGATTTTATGTTACACCTGGTGTGTCTCTTAAGTTTTAATTTCTGTCGATTCCCCCCCCTGTCTATTTGCATGTGTGCACTTGTTGAAAATTGACTGGAAAATATGTCTTGAGTAAGAAAAAAATTATTTAAACTACTTGTGGTCTCAGATAAAATTTCAAGTCCAAAGCCCTTAGCAATGAATGTCTGTCTTTCCACCCAAAGATTTGAAGCTGTTCTTGGATGTGTGTCTCAGACAGTCATCTCCCTGTGTTTCTAAGCCATAGGAAGTTCTCACTAAGAGAGAGAATGACTTCTTTCTGCTCCCTCTTTCCTCAGACATCCAATGCACCCTCTCTCTTTGGTATCACCTGAAGCCTTTGCTTTTGACTTGCTCGGTGAGAAGAGGAACTCCGCATGGAGAGGGTGGTACTCACCATCACCCATCACCAGCTGAGCCACTGCCCTGCATCCCAGTGTGTGCATCCATTTCTACCCCAAGTGTTTGTATCCCTGTTCTATTCCTCAGCTGTTAGCCCCAGCTGGCCACTCGTGTACATGGCATACATGTGTGCCGGCATGTCTTTCTGTCCCCACACAAGAGCCTTGCTCTGGCAGCTCTCCTCTCTTCTCTCAGGTCACTGTCTACCTCTCACTACCCTCTACAGTCTTTTAAGTGTACTCTTGCAATAATCAAGCTTGCTTCCTTTTCCCGTTGCTGTGAGGCAATATCCTGACAAGTGCAACTTAAGGAAGTAAGGCTGTTTTGGCTCATGGTTCAGGGCACAGTCCACCATGTTGGAGAAGTCAAGGTAGCCAAGGCTTGAAAGTGCTGGCCATATCTCATCCACAGCCAAAAACCAGACAGCAGTGAATGGATGCTAGCTCTCCCTTTTGTACAGTCCAAGATCCCTGTCTACAGCCCTACCTACAATGAAGGGGTATGCTCCCGTACCATTAACCTAATCAAAATCACTGCCCACACACATACTCAGAGGCCCATCTGCCAGGTGACTCTAATTCTGTCAAGCTGAAAATTCAACCATCACATGTGCCCATGGGATGCCACGCTTCCATATCTTTCACAGACCTTGCCTTGGTGTCGGAAAGTTTACTACTTGCTGCCCTATATTCTACTTCCCTTTAGAACAAACACCCTCAACATAGTTGTCAAAGCTCACTTTGCTCATGCCCCATCCCATTCTCTCCTCAACCGCCCTGCAGCAGTGTGTCATGAGCACTCTGCCTTGTGTCCCTTCCTGGCAGTGCCACCCTACAACTCTGGTCACCAAATGCAGTTTCACTGCTGGTCCATAGTCCCCAGCACACTTGGCACAGGTGATCGGCCCTTCTCTTCTCCTTTGAACATTCCTTCCTAGGCACCTAGTCTGAACCTTCTCTTAGTTTTTCTTCCACTCCCTGAACCCAGATTATGGGTGGATCCTTGGGCTCAGGTTATAGCCCTCTTTGGGACTTGCCCTCTCTGCTCTCAGTCATTAGTTAATTTCACAAGTCTCAGCCTAAAAAGCCATATCTCCATTGATCTATCATTTCTACCCATATATCACAGATCTGCATCACTCTCCCATTACCTGTGGCCCCCTCAGTACCTCTCAGCTCGGGAATGATGTTGCCAGTCATTCAGTTGTCCAGGCTGAAAATAGTAGCATTGCCCTTGATGTCCTTATATTCTACTGACAACACACTCCTGACTGGGTGGCAAAGTATCTCCCCACCTTCATCATTACTGCGGAAACAAAAGCCGAAGTCACCTGAGATGCCTGTACCTCTACTCCTGTCCCCTGTCCCCATTCCCACACAGTGGTCCTTTTAAGTTTTTAATCATACTGTTCCATTGTCTTTACCAAACATGTTGCCCATTTGGGAGGAGACCCTAAGCCCTTTCTGGGACTTTGAATGTCACTCAGAGGGAAGTCCTTGTCTAGTCCCTGCCCACTGCTCCAACCACACTGGCCTTTCAGCTCTTCTGTTAATACAGTCAGAGCTTTCTCTGCTCTCAGGTTTCCCTCTGTTCTCCGACGACATTACTCTTCACAAACATCCTCAGGGCTGCCTCCCATGTTCCCTTAAGGTCTCCACTCAAATATCACCTAATTACATGTCCTTCCTATTAGCTTCCTACCTAGTCTAAAACGTTATCAAATAAGTGAAGTTGCATACTCCATGTATTCCAATATGCATTCATCTCTTATGTTGCCTTTGTTGTGTTTTGTTTTATGTTCACTTATTTATCAGGTGGCAGGAGGCCCACATACCTGGAGGTCAGAGGACAACTTACAGGAGTCAGTTCTTTCCTTCACCACATGGTTCTGGGGATCAGGCTCAGGTCATCAGGCTCAGCAGCAAGCATCTTTCCCCACTAAACTACCTCACTGACCTCCTGTTCTGTAGGCTTTTTTTTTTAGGGTTTGATTCTCTAGGCTTCTCATCATCTAGTATCCCATCCTACTACATCTTTTTATTACCTAATCTCTCCACTTACACATAAACTCCACAAGAGTGGTGACTGTTTCACTCAGTGCTGCTTTCTCTCCATGGGAAGAACCCTACTTAACACAGAGCAGAGCCTCCATAAATGTGTATTGAACAAGTGAATGAATTATTGATGAACTCAAAGCCCTTACTGAAGATTGATGAAACATGTAATCTAATTCTTCCCTTCTCATCATTGCCCATTCATTAGCCTCATGTTCACAGGCAGGGTCTCCCACAATGTAGAGCACATAAAATCCACATACATTACAAGACTATATATATATATATATAATATATATATATATATATATATATATATATTTTAATGTTGACAGTGGACCCTGATACTTCATTTGTTTTCATTATAGTAATAACATTATATTACTACAAAGTTAGTAAACAACATTAAATAACATGAATTAATAAATAATATTATAGTTGTAATTAAATTAAGCTAAGGGAAGTTTAGCTCAAATGTAGTGATAACAGTGATGATGATGATGATGATGAGACAACAATGATGATAATAATAATAATAATAATTCCTAGAATCAAAAGTAAGGTACTCTGTTGATATACACTGTGATTTCTGAAGCTATCGGGAAAAATATTCCTGAATTAAAGATAGGAAAACATAGGCTCCGAGTCATTGGATGATCTCCCTGAGGCCTCAGAGCTCTGTTCAATCTGTTTTTGAGTTTGGAACAAGTTTTGCAGCAAATGATATGATCAAGTTATTCAAATTCTAGTTGTTGGGAAAATTAAATAACCATAATAATCCTTATTTATTTATTTATTTATTTATTTATTTATTTATTTATTTAGAGAAAAAGCTTGATTTTTACTCATTCCTGCTGTGCCCCACAGAAACTTACAATGAATTCTCTTGATTGGTGATATGTGGCCATGTTTGAGTGAGGACAGAGCAGTGTGAAGGTCTTTCCAACTGTGTGGGACACACTAAGGAAGGAGTTCAGTCTTCTTAATTTCTTGGAAAGACTCAAGGCCGGAATGTGTCATCATTACAGATTTGCACAACATTAGCAAACTCCTTATCCCTCGGAAGGGAAGGAACGAAATCCTCTCTCTCCCGTTAGTGGTGGCACAGCGAAGGGGACCAGAGGCATGAACAGGAGGACTAAGACCCAGATGGCTTCAGCGCCCAGTCTGCTTAGAAAAGGGTTAAATTAAAGGCACTCGATGTTTGACTCACCAACTTTCCTCTATGCGTTCAATTAGACAGACAGAAGTACGTGTGGTCATCTTCATCTTCTTCACCTTCATCTTCATCCCCTTCCTCATCAATATCTTCCAAGCCTTCCTCTTCTTCATCATCATCGTCATCATCTTCTGCCTCTCCTTCTTCATCATCCATATCAGGAACCAAATAGTACTGCAAGGGGTTTGGCCAAATATCGTCTTTAATGACCTCTCCTAACTCATCTGCACCTGCATCAGAATGGTCAGTGAACCAGGTGAAGAAACTCTCCGGCTCTTCATGCTGCCTCTTCCTGCTGGCCTTATTCTGCGTTTGACTTGAGCGTTTTGTCAAATCCTTTCCAGACTTCCATTTGATTTCAGTGGACTTTGAAGATGGGTCGCCACTCTCATTCAGATGAAATTCTTTGGAGAGAACTTTATTTTCAAAGTAAGGATTTTCATCAAAATAAAAATCTATTCTGTAACTGAGGAGGATGAAGGCGAGGATGACTAGCACAGAAGGCTGATGGATTCCAACCCTCTTTTTTATTTTCTTTTTATTTTTTAATTTTCTCCAGTCCCTGGGAGCAAGTTGCAGTCATTTCCCTCCCCCCCCCAACCCCTCTTGTGCTCAGTAGCCCTGTTTTTGAGGTCTCTTCTCAACACCATGGTTCTCAACTTATTTTGGGGGAAATACCTTGAACAAAATACAACAGGAAAAGAATCTCCACTATTCTGTTCTAAATTCATTTTTATCCTTTGTTGTCTCAAACTGTGGATTCAACACCACCACTGTGCTCTGTGGGAAAAAAGAAAACCCTTCGGCCCCCTTGGCTCTGCTGGAGACTGGGGGTGCCAGGCCCCTGTGTAGTAGTGCATAGACTTCTAGCTTTTTTCCTTTCTCTGTATATTGGGCTCAGAGATTACACTGTGTCTCTATGTGAATACAGACAGTTAGCATTTACCAACATGTATCTGTCTACTTTCTCTTGTTTAATAAAAAGAAAAAAAAAAGAAAAAAAGGGGGGGTATAGAAGGTCAGCAAGGGTGGGTTGAGGTGTCTGGGGGGGTAAGTGGGCATTGTGACAACATGGCTTCTCCTTTGGCATGTTTGATTGTGATGTTTAACGGACATCCTTGCAGTTTAAGATGACACTTTTAAATAAAATTCTCTCCTAACGAAAAAAAAAAAAAAAAAAAAGAAGTACGTGTGGGCAGGGCACGGGCTCATCCGTCTTGAAGCTTGGGGGCTGGCTTTTAAGCGCTGACGTCATTGTGGAGACAATCAGGGAGGAAGCACAGCGCTTCAGGAACGAAAATGTTAAATTAAATGGACCGTGTTTAACGTCGCTGTTGATCCTGAGGAACAGTTTTCCAGTGTGCGGAACATTTCCACCCCACCCAGCATATGTCCCCCACAGTTTTCTCTGCTCTAATTCATCTGTGTTTCCCGACAGCTCCAGATGGCCTGCTGTCTCCCAGGCTTGCATCTGCCACTCCAACCAGTCTTCAGGTTGTCTGGTCTACACCAGCTCGCAACAACGCTCCGGGCTCTCTCACGTACCAGCTCCAGATGAGGCCCGGCCCCTCCACCCACAGCTTTCTAGAGTGAGCATTCTACCTAGTGCCTCTTCCTATGGGCTGGCTTAAACAATGTCCACACGTTTTAAATGTTCTCATAAACATGAGAACTGAAGAATAGGTCGGTTCTGATTTACAACAAAATTTGGGTATCTTTTAAAAGTTCAAACAAAGTAAAACATGAGCAAACGATTTAGTGGATACACATATGCTTTACAAAAAAAAAAATCTAGTGTTTGTTTATAGAGCACGGAAAGCAAGATTTTCTGACATTCCTTAAGCCTTGCAGGAATACAAGTGTCACACACTGGAACTGATAAACTGGGCTGATCTGTGAAGAGCCTTTTCCAACTGCCCTGTAATGACCTCATAGCACCCACTGTCCTTGCAGCCAGAATTTGTGTCTTCTATAAATGCAAGAGAACAAATTCTCTCCCAATGGCTATTTATTCTGAAGTAGATATAATGTGATGGCCTAAAATAATATAACTTAAATCTATGTTGGTATCTCTAAACACTTTTTTGCAGCATGATTTCACTGATCTTTTGTTTCTTTTATTTATGTGAATGTCTAAACCTTCCTAATGGGCTTTTCTTTCCCACAAAGGTTATTTCCCGATCCTTCTGCATCGTTAAGCTATGAAGTGAGTGATCTCCAGCCGTTCACAGTGTACAGGTTTCGGTTGGTTGCCACCAATGGCTTTGGCAGCACACACAGCTCTTGGACTCCACTCATGACCGCAGAGGATGGTAAGTAGGCCAGCTACCCAAAGTCAAACATCAGCTGCAACAGGGATCCTCAACAGCTTTATGTTTCTCAAAACAAGGAAATAAGCCCCTCCAACTTTCTTGTCAGAGAGTTGCCATATCTCCTCCAGGGTAAGAGTGGAGCATGGTGGTCAGGACAGCTGTGGTCAATCTCTACAGAAGGAAGAAAACTTTGGACCCAGAAGGATGGAGGGTTGGGCCCAGAGACAAAAAGAAGGAAATGCCACATCCAGTTATGGCATGGCAGTGGTCTGTCCTTCAGGATACGGGATACCCTAAAAAGGAAAGGTGGTGGCCTTCTGCACCTTGGCCAAGTGTGCCATGCTTTGGGGAACTTCTAGAAGGCAGGCAGCGGTGAATGTTGGGTTGTAGCCTGAGAGTGTTGCTCAACCTACTGCTGGAAGCAGGCACTACCCTGCTTTGATATATGCACCAAATGGAATCTCCAGAATAGAAGGGTGGAGCCTGGTGGGTTATGAAAATAAAGCTAGATCCAATTGCCTTATTCAACTAACAAAGAATTTTTTACTTTTTTTTCATTGAAAATAAAAATTGTAATCAGTTACATTGAAGAAATAAACATGTGGCTATGACATTTGGTTGTAAATTAACTATATCTACAAAAGCAGACATATTAAGACAGAGGTATCATTTTCTTGTCTGTTCGGTTTTAGTAAAGTTGGAAATGAAATCAGACTACGAGGGGAAGGCACATGCGAGTTTTGCACAATGAGCTTTGGGGGTTAATCCTGTCAAGTCTTCTAATCGCAGACTTCGAAGGAGTTGTTGTTCAGTGCACACTTGCCGTTCTGGTTTTATAGCCAACAAGCACAGGCGTGACCTTCAAAACAGCTAGCCATCACTACAAAGGGAGAACGTTTAAAACAATACAAGTTTTGTGCTAAGTAGATTATTTTATTTTGTAATAGCCATAATGACTTTAAGTACTTAGTGATAAAACATAAAATGTGGCTGAATCAAAACAATTTTCAGTGTTTAAAGTTCACTCTATTTTTTAAAATGCCATTCTGAACAATATAAATACTTTCCCCATTCCCTCCAATTTTTTAATTACTCTGGGAAGCAAGTTAGATAATTTACATGGTTGCATCAAATGTTTTTGTCCCAGGGTGTCACTCCAAATATCACCAGTGCAGAGGAAAAATGAACCCATGATTCAGGAATCATTGATGTATAACCTTCAGGTAGAGCATTGCACACACCTTGGGAAATCAGACATTGTAGTCACCAGTGGTATTCAGGTTTATGGACTGGAAAGCTCACATTCAAAATAGATTTTTTTTCAAGAGACATTTAAAAAATTAAGATAGATGGTTAATCTCCTTTAAAAAAATACCATGCTTGATGTCACTCAATAAAGGTTAAGTAAAAATAACCTCTGCAGAGGTAATGGCTCAATTGAGTGCCAAGTAGGTAGAAGGGGAAAAGGATTGCCTTTTTGGGGGGTGTCTTCTCCCCAGCAACAATCTGGCCACAGTCTTTACTGAATGGTGGGTGACGACGCCATGCTGTCCACAGGTAGGAAAGTAGAACAGAAACCACTCAAAATTGCTATTTTGCCCATTAGTACAGCACACATTGTTGATCAAATTGGTCTCCTATCACCTCTTATTATAAGACTAATCATGTAGATTACAGGTGGTTAGAATTTTTATGCAGAGACCCTGGCATCTTGGTAACATGTGGAGTTAGTGCTACATTGTTCACTTTCCCTAAGAACAAGTAATATTTGACTATCTAACAGGTGTCAGCTCGGAACACCAGCCATCACTGCTGTTTAAACACTTGCTGTGAGATGAATGGAAAGTTCCTTCCCCCACTTTGCATATACACTAAGTCACACACATTAGCCAAGAGCTGGAAGGTAGCCACAGGCCCCTGCAAGGCAAGTTCCCAGTGTACACTCAGCCCTGGGACATGGTGACAGTAGGCTATATATTTTGGATGTCAGTAGAGATGGATACTATCTCTAAAAGGATGTGCAATTGAGTTGACAAAGGCTGAATGATTGGCACTGGGCACAAGCAGTTTTTCTGTCAAGGCTGCAAAGCATGGCTTATAAAGCTACCCACGTTGACAGATCCATGCCAGAATCGCACTTCAACCTTGGCTTCTCCTGGTTGCTAGGGTAGCTATCAGTGGAGATGTTTCCCATATCATCTTAGAGAATGAAACTGAGAAGTCATCTCATGCCCATATTTGAATTCCGTGCCATCAACAGGAGTCTCTTCCCTTTAGTCACAGACACAAAACCACCTGTTGTACAGGTAGGCCACCCATGGCAGTATTTTTCATGTGATATTTTGAGGCAATGATATTCATCAAAACCATGGCAGGACTGTGAAACCAGAAAGAGAAACCTACATAAAAAGTGACCTTCCTCATCGAGATTATGTTAGACCTAGGAGCATGTGGTCCAAATGGTAAGGGGGAGGCTTTTGCAGAATGGCTGAAACTTTTGGTATTATTAAACTAGAAATAACTATGATGCTATAGTGACCACACATCTCTTGTATTTTCATGACTGTGTACCATATGTGAATGAATGTAGAAACTATAGCTTTGGGGAGCATGTCTCTTTGAGCCTCTGGTTAAAGAGGGTTAGCAACATTTGCCTGTGAAAAATCTGAAACCAGAGAAATGTAAGCAGTAATGAGCTATTCCCTCAAAAGTCAATTTTAGGGTGTGAAGAGAAGTTCTCCTGTACAAAATCTATGAGGCATTTAAATGCATTTTTTTTCAAATAATTTGTCATTTACATCAGAGTGCCACCAATATCCAGTTCCATGCATTTTTAAAAATCTAGGGTGCAAGTGCCAAATAATAATAATAATGGACCTTTCCTATGAATAGTTTAAATCCTGTGAAACCTGTGCTAATAAAAGATGTTTGTGGCAGCCAACTTGGTCAGTGTAGTGTTGAAGCATTCACGGCCAGATAAATATAAACAACATACGGATATTTTTTTAATGTGCTAGTGGTAGGCCAAGCAGCTGGCATGTCTACAACTTGCAAAACTAGGTAGTGACTACATTAGACTCAGATAACTATACTTAATATAGTGGTAGAATGAAGACACTTCACAGCTGAAAATATTTTCTAGTCATTTTATGTGTGTGTGTGTGTGTGTGTGTGTGTGTGTGTGTGTGTGTGTGTGTATGTGTGTGTGTGAATCTGTGTGTTAGTGAGCATTTGTATGGGTGTGTGTGTGAATATGTATGTCTTTGAATGTGTGTGTGTGTGTGTGTGTGTGTGTGTGTGTGTGTGTGTATGTGTGTGTGTGTGTTACATACAATGCGCAGAGGTCAGAGGTTGAGTGTCATTCCTAGGGAAATGCTATCCACCCTTTTTGATGACACTCTGGAACTTACCACGTAGGCTAGGGTCGTGGCTAGGGAGCCTCCCCCCTGTCTCTGCTCCTTGGCACTGAGATTATAAATACATGGTACCACATCCAGATCTTATTATGTGAGACTGAGCATCAAACTCAGGTCCTTGGGCTTGAGAAGGAAGCCATCTCCCCACCCCAAAATGTTGATATTTTCTAATCCATGCAGATGGTGCCCTCTTGGGACTGCAATTACTCTACAGCTCTCATACACTGACAGCTGTTTTATGTAGACTATATGAATGTAAAAATTGTAATTTGGGGCAGGGTTCTATGAACTTCAGTTTAAATATGATAACAGATGGGCTTTTCTTCCTACAATCCAGCCCCATGTAAAATAAGAGTTCACCAATTTCGCCATTAAAGAAAATCTCAAAGACAGGGAGAGTCAGATAATCTGCTTTTAGTAAAGATTTTCCAGGTGAGGAGACAGAAATATTTAGTTATATTTAGACTGAAATATTTAGTTATTTTGTTGGTCAGTTTGACAAAATTATATCCATACACAATGATGATATCAACTAATGAAATTGAAATTGTTTCTTAAAAACCATTGCTAACCTCAAAAGAAAACCCCAAACAAATGATGTAGTAATCAGACATTTTAAAGAATTTGACCATTACCCCAAACCTGAGATTTAAAATTTCATACTTATATACCCTTACAGATTTATTTTTAATTATGCATATGTGTATAGGGGAATATTTGCAAGTGAGTACAGGTGCCCACAAGGTACAGGATTTCTTCTGGAGTGAGAGTCACATGCAGTTAGGACCACCCAATATGAGTGCTGGGAACTGAACTGAGGTTCTCTGAAACAACAGTGTGTATGTACCCTTAACTGCTGAGCCTCCTCTCCAGCACCCCCTGCCATAGAACACACTTATATTTTTAAGCATAAATTTATTAAATAACATGTTGGAATCTAAGCAGTTTATTCTGAGGGTTTACATAGATATTTTTCATATTTGTTCAATATCTTACTACCAGATAATCATTCATGAGTTTGTCTTCAGTGTGATTAAAAAAAAAGACATCACCTTATATACACTATGATATTGAAGGACCATTAGCATACTTTGGTAATCCATTGCATCAAGCCTAGGATTTTTTATACATTTATAACTGTATAAAGTGGGTGTTTCAGTTTCCTTCTGTTGCTCTGACAAAAATCATGACCAAAGCCACTTAGAGGAGGAAAGGGTTTATTTGTCTCACACTTCTAGGTCACAGTCCATCATCCAGTGAAGTCCAGACAGGAACTCAAGCAAGAACTTGAAGCAGAATTCTTGGAAGAATGCTGCTTCCTGGCTTAGTTTCTGGTTCACTTGCCAGTGCATGCTTAGCTGTCTTAGTCACTGTTCTGTTGCTGTGAAGAGAGACCATGACCAAGGCAAGTCTTATAAAAGAAAGCATTTCATTGGGGGCTTCTGTACACTATCAGAAGGTTAGTCCATTATCATCATGGTGGGGAGCCTGTCAGCATGCATGGAATTGGAGTAATGCTGAGAGCTACATCCTGATCCATAGACAGTAGACAGAGAGATTGAGGTTTCAAAAGCCCACCCCAGT